CCCTTGCCACCCCTTGCCCACGCACGGCAGGTGTGGTCGCTCGGCGTCTGCCTCTTTGGGCTGGTGGCGGGCTTCTTCCCCGTCGAACGAGCCAAGGCGGACGACCGCCGCTTCGAGGAGCTGACTCGCTCGCAGGTGGGGGAGAGGCGGTCGGCGTGCGATGTCATCTACGGGCTCTACGGGTCCGCCCCCGCCCCCCCCCCCTCCCCTCCCCTCCCTCCCCCCCCCGGGCGAGGGGCGGCGTGGAGCTCGCCTTCCCTCACACCCTCACACCGCGCACGGTGCGGACAGGCTCGCGAGCCCCCTCACTCCGCCGCTGGCCAAGCTCCTCGACGGGATGCTGCAGGCACCACCACACGCAAGAGACACGCGCACGGCACCACAACGAACCAACACACACACGCACACACACACACAATACACACACACACACACACACACACACACACACACACACACACACACACACACACACACACACACACGCACACGCACACACACGCACACACACACACACACACACGCGGCGGGTGTGGCGTGGGGTCCCCGGCTGCAGGTGGTGCCGGGGCGGCGCAGCTCGATGGAGCAGGTCGAGGGTAGCAGCTGGTGGGGGCACGGCAAGCCTCACGGGCCAGGTCAAGGGCAGCCTCCCGCTCTGCGCGGCATCGAGGAGCGATCCGAGGGGAACAGCAGCAAGGATAGCAGCGCCAAGGGGAGCCGGCAGGGCAGCAGGCTGGACAGCGGAGCCCGCCCCGCGCCGCTCCGCGTGTCGGGCTCCTCGCTCGACGGCGTCAACGAGGGAAGCGCGGGCGGAGGGGGCTGCTCCTCGCAGCCCGGCCGCAGCAGCGCGGCCGGGTCGAGAGTCTCCCATGGAGTCTCCCCGGCCATGGCCGCGCTCGCGCAGCGGGGGACGACCAACTCTCTCTCCTCGGAGGAGAGAGGCGAGATCAAGTCAGAGATCAAGTCAGAGATCAAGTCAGAGATCCAGTCGCTGTCGACGTCCGGACTCATGCAGGTGCGGCCGGCGTGTGGGGCGGGGGGGCGGGGAGGGGCGGCGGGGGTGGGCGGGTGGGTGGGTGGGTGGGTGGGGGGGCTTCTTGCCCAGACGCGCCCAACCCCGCAACAGGTGGAGACGGAGCGCCTCAAGCGCGAGATCCGTCACTCCTTGGCCGCCTCGAGCGCAGCTTCGGAAGCCCGCACCAGCGAGGCGCACTCGCCCAAAGAGTTGCACTCCTCACTCTCCTTGCAAGGAGGGCCGCCGCCGCCTGCCCGCGCCGCCAGCAAGACGCCGCAGCGACCGGCGGTGCGCGGGCTGCCCGGCACGTCCCGCGAGGGAGCTCGCCTCGCCGCAGCCGACTACGGCGACGTCGAGGGGCTCTGCTCGCCCTGCAGCGAGATCAGCGTCGTGCCTCCGTCCTCCGTCTCCGCGCTCTCAGTCGGGACGGTGTCGCCCGCACCGTCGCTGAGCGGCTTTTCGCCCCCGCACAGCCGAGAGGCGTCGGCGCGCGCCCGCCGAAAGCGCGGAGGTGTCCGTCCAGCGGGCGCTCCTGCGCGCACCCGCGGAGCTGCTTTGGATCTAGGCGAACCCGCTGGCGTCGGGCAGCATATCCAGGGACGCATCGCTCGGCCGCTCACAGCGGGCGCTGCGCCAGCCGCCGCCGGACCGGGCCATCCAGGGCCTTATCCAGTCGACGGCGAAGGTCCATCTGCGCCGTCGCTCTGGGGCACGGGCTTGAGCTTCTGCGTACCATTTTCCTCCGTGAATAGGCTTCCCTGTTCCGCACGCCGTCGAAATCGGCGAGGTGAGGCGCTTTCATGTGGCCTCATCATGTGTGTGTCTGTTATCGTGGTGGTTTGGTTCGCGATTTGGTGTGTTGCTGACTGTGAACCGAGTCCGAGAAACAAGTGTGCTCTGATGTGTGCGGCGCACAGATGAGTTTTTCAGTACGTGTCAGTAAAGTATAGCTACGTGTAGCGCTCCCTCCTCCTCACCCTCAATTTGGCAATGATATTCAAATTTCGGAATTATTTCGTTCACGCATTGAGACCCGGCCGCGTGCGGCGAGACGGCATCGCGCGCCACCCCGGACACGGACCCGGCCCACACCACCGCCGCTCTCCACACACGCACATACCGAACGCGCAGGACCACACGTGACATATACACATCGGAGACACGCAGAGATGAGAGAGAGAGCGAACACACAATGTTCTGACGTTGCACAGACACTTGGCACAGATGACAAAAGGGAGCCAACCCGGAGGAGAGCCGCGGGCCTCACGCCCCTTGTCTCCGCCCCAGCCACACCTCGCGCGCGCGATCAGACGGAGAGAGGTGCCGCATTCCTAAGAACCTTTGGCAGCATCGTCGCGTCGAATATCTTCCCCTCGCCCGCCGCCGGCTTTCTTCCCTCCTCGTTGTGGTACTTGTCCTTGATCAGCGACCAGAATGGCTCGACGGAGATGCGCAGGTTGCGGAGCAGGTCGTTGAGCTCCGCCCGCAAGCCGACGGGTGGAGGGCCGGGACCTAGCCACTCCCACTCGGAGGCGAGCGGGTTCGACGCATCCCGCTCGCGACCCTCGCACGCCTACTCGCAGCAGCGCGCTCTCACCGCTCCCGCCTCCTGAGGAGCCAAGGTCAGGGCGAGGATTCCTGGCCGAGCGCGTCAGGCTCGGAGCTGACTCTCTTCACGACCTCCACGAGGGCCGAAGGGCCGGTGAAAGCCTGGTCGACCACCGTCAGCTCCCCCTCACAGCTCGGCACCGCGCGGCCGTGGAGCAGGTCGTCGCGGTCGAGCGAGATGCGGTCGAGCGTGACGTTGCCTGCCATGGCGAGCGAGTAGTTGCCGCCTCCGAGGTAGTAGCCCGCCTCTGTTGCCCACCAGTTTGCCGTGATGTTGATCTGGAGCCCTTGCACGACAACTCGTACGTGGCTCGGCTTCGCGCTAAAGAGAGGGTCGAGGGGAAACCCCTTGTTCGACTGCCTGCACGTGCTAACCACCACCCTGCCGATCTTGATTCCGGCCACCGACGAGTTGGTTCTATAGGCAGTCACGAATGGGACGATGTGCTGCTGCTCGACGCCAGGGTTGGGCGGCGTCGGCAGCTCACGCCGGTCAAACATGGTCTGCAGCTCACCGTTCATTGAGTCCTGAAACCACTTGGGTAGGGCGCCCACACCGCCCTCTGAGCACGTGTAGGTCGAGGGTAGCGGCCGCAAAGAGGCGACGCTCTCGCCCGCTTGCTGCTGGGGTCGAGTCGTGGCTGTGTGCAGCAGCAGCAGCAGCAGCACGGCTGAGGCCATGGCACCGAACCAGGTGACGCGGCGGCGGCGCTCGTCTTGAGAGTAAGTCTGCATCGACGAACAGGAGGTGCTGGTGCTGCGCGGCGGCTGCGGGCAAGGTGCTGCTGCTGCGCGGCGTGGCTGCGAGCAAGGTGTGCTTGCCGGCTTGGAGACTGGCAGTGCAAAAAAAAGGGCTGAACAAACTCCCTCGCACAACACTGGGCTAGCGCGAGCCTGTCGTGTCCCTTGTCAGGAGCAGGAGAGCCCCACCTGTCCCCCTGATCGTCCTTCCAAAATCCTGCTCGTGCAGGTGGGGACCCTGTCCTCGTCCCATCCCTCGTTTGGCGTGTCTGTTTTCTTTCTTTCTTTCTTTACTGGGCTAGCGCACCACACACCTCTCCTTAAAATCCCTGTGTGGTGGCGGCGTGCCGTCCTCCCATCCCTCCCTTGGGTGGGGTGTTTTATTTCTTTTTTTATACTGGGCACAGGACTGGGCACGGGACTGGCGCGCACTGGCACTAACACAGGTGCGAAAAAAAAGAACATAGAGACTGAGAAGCGGAGTTTTAAAAACAAGAACCGAAAAGAACAAGGAAAAGAAATCGCGCGGGGGGGAGAATTAAATAAAAAAGAATTTTCGCGCCAACGACACGATTCACGAAAGAATTTTGGATAAAACTCCGTCGCACAACACTGAAAAAAGAATAACGTGCGCCGGCGGAGTTCGGACCGCGGCAAGCGGCGTGGCGTGGAGCGGTTGAGCATCCCTCCGGGGGGCCCTCTGCGCCGGGGAGGCGTTGTTGGAGGCTATACCCTGTCCCGTTATTGCGTACACCAACACCACAAAAGCTCTCTCTCTCCTGTCCTCACTCAGGGGGGTCACAACTACCGAGTCACTCGACTAGCTGCCACGTTGCCGACCGAGAGCGGATCTCCTCCTGCTGCCTCTCCAACCGCTTCTGCAGCGTCCTTCTTTGCCCGGTGCATGGGCTCGATCCGATTCCGCAGCGTGTCGTCCCCAGCGGCGGTGCTGCGCGGGAGGCGGCCGCGGGTACGCTGGGCTCTCGATCAGCGGCTTTCCCTCCAAGTGCTCTCCTCAGTTGCTCCGAAAGCACGGATTTGGCGGACGTTCTTGGCTTCAATTTTACGGATGTCGATGTCTTGGCCCCGGCACCAGCTGAAGGCTTGCCCCCGTCCACGGCCCAGATCACGCAGTTTGTGCACGGTATTCGGATTTTGCTATTTGCTCGTATATTGCAGATTTGTCAGTGGTTACCGCGTCTGCGACGCGGGCGCCTTGCGAGCAGAGCCCTTAGCCAGCCTTTATATCTTGCGCGGCAAAAAAAATCCAAGCCCCGCTAGAGGTGCGGGCGAGAGGGCGGCCCGAGCCCGAAAGGGCCCGCCCTCGGTCTTGCTCTACATGGTAACGGATAAGAAGAGAAACACCCCGACATATGGACCGGGACACGGGGGGGGGGGGCACACACGCTGTGGTTCAGACGGTATCTACTCAGCTGCTCCGCTTATTATACTTGCCTGTGAAGCCTGAACAGCGTCAAGAGTTTGAATAGCGTTCTGCGAGCGCCTCCCCTTTTGTCGTCCACCACACGCAGCAGATCTCCATGGCGGCGGTGGCGGGCGACGCCGACAACATCAACAAGCAGGCGCGCAAGATGCGTACCAACTGGGTCAACTCCCCTGAGCGTGCAACTGGGTCAACGACGTCAAGAACAAGCAAGCGGCAAACGGCCTCTTGCCCTCGGCCCCAGTGGAGGGTGCCCGCGCCGCCTCTAGAGCTCTGTGGACGGGCCCCTCCACCCTTCACGTACGGATCATGTAGTCCCCACACTCGCTGTCGTGGGATCGCTTGTCATGTGAGAGAGTGCGTTGTGTTCTTGTTTTGTATCCGCTTTCTCTTTTGAACGATATCGGTGTCGAAACACCGCTCTGACAGCGCTCAACAGCTGAGCTACGCTCTATCCACACTCTAGTATCACGCTCGCCTCGTTGCATTCGCAAAGGGCACCTGCTTTCCAACCCCTCCTCACCTGCAACGCACTCGCCGAACGTGAAGGCGGGGCGCGGTCGATCGCACCGAGCACTATGGGAGGAGGTGGGCACCTCGAGCGGCACGCAGGTGCCGATCGCCGCTGGCTGCCGCATGCAGCGATCTCCGGTCGCGACGATCTGTGCGTGCGGCCTCGAGAGATCGCGACCCCCCGACACCGCCCCCATCTGGATCGTGTCGAGTCCAAGGGCGTACGCCTGCGCCCGAGGTGACCGGTGTGGAAGGAGCCGGATCGAGTCTGGGGCGCCATTCGGCGCGCCTGCAGCGGGTAGGCCTCCTTGGTTGGCGACAAGCCATGCACGACGCTGAGGTTGGACCTGCTAAGGTTGGAGGCGAGCCAATACGCCGTAAAGCTGGCAGGCTCCGACGAGCGCACAAAGTCGTGCTCGCTCCGGCCACGCCAACTCCGGCCCACGTTGATCCACAGGCCGCTGCCGCGGGCCGGGAAAAACCAGCAGCCATTCCCATTCGCCCCTTCACTCCCGGTGAACCCCGGCATGTCGGGCTGTCGCTGCCGCATCACCTCGACCCAAGAGTGGTCCTCGGCCGAGGCGCTGAAGCGTGGCTCGTACAAGACGGTCCCGTGGGTGCCGCCAGCGCCGTCGGGCACCACAAAGGCGTGAGCGGGACGCATGGTCGGAGCCAGTTCCCGATCGATCGCGTCGTGAGACCGCCAGCGCGAGCACAGGGAGGCCGCGCACGGCGGAGAGGAGCGCACCGGAGCGAAGCCGCGGCTCTTGAGGCCGATGTGGTACATCGCTAGTGGCGGGACCGTCTCCATGCTAAACGGCCTCGTGCTGCAGGCCGCCATCGGCCATTCCACCTGCACACGTGGTCGGCTGTGATGGGCGCCGTGGGTGCTGGGACTGGATCTTGTCTGCATCTAGGCAACCACATCTGAACGCCACCCACCACCAGCATGGTAGAAAAAGTTGAAGCCGGTCATCTCAAAGGGCAGAACCGGAGGTGATCTGTAGACGGCAGAAAGGTATCCATACCACGGGCTTGAGGAGGAGTTGACCGAGCGAGGTACAAAGTCACGGAAGAATGCGCGTGCAGCATCGATGGTGCACGTGTGAAAGCAGTGGCACCTACGGGCTACCACCACAGAGCTTGAACGCGAGACCATGGCTAACCGCGCGTTTCGAAAGTTGCGCGCTTCACGCCTGCAGGAGCCGAGGCCTTTGCTCGAACGACCCTGTTCGTGTGGCGCCTCCCTCAGTTCGGTTCACGTACTCCAAATCTCATTACGGCAAGAGCTTCTCCTTCGCCGAAGTGGACGGTGCGACTGCGTGCCCAATTGTGAGTTGCACCCCGGCCACGAATTGGAGACGTGCAACATGCGTTCGGAGGGCGCTCGTGCACTGGAACTCCTCACGAGACGGATCAACCAGGCGTGGGGGGTGGGTACGCCCTCCAATACCCCTTCCGAGAACGGGCTCTTGGTGCATGTGCTGGACGGCAACGGCATCACTCTGAACGGCTTTCAGGGTATGTACGGCTTGTGCACAGCATGTGGGCAGCACCACAAACATAGACCTTGATTCACTCGTAGGTTGGAATCAGCGCGGGACGCCGCCAGGCTCGATTCTGTGGAGTCTGCTGGGTCAATATAAGGAGCGAGGCGCCGATACATCTCGTCTTGACCCCAGCGTGGTGCACACCCCTGCGATGGGTCACAACCTTCGCGGCTAGCTCTGAGCCCTCGCGCTTTCACAGGGATACGTCGACCGCGTCTCGTGTTCCTTCATCTCCCGACGCCTGCCACGAATGCGCGCAGCGCTAGGAACCACTATTCAACATTTCCACCCTCTTGTGAAGTTGGCTGTGTGTGTAGGTACGAGCCGCTCAACGTGGTGGCACTGCGGCGCGCTGGGTTTCGCACCCTTCCGTTTGTGCTTCTCAACGCGTCTTCCCCGGCCGTGTTTCGCCGCATTGGCTGCTGCCTGCCAATCGACATTGGGAGCTTGCGATACGGGTGCCCAGATCACTCGGCGGAATGCGTGCCGGGCTGCCAGCAGGTCTCACACAACCAGCTGATGTGGGTCGGCGGGGTACACCCCCCCGAGGACTTGCGCGGCTGCCTCAACCAGTCCAAGCCGTGGCTCTGCCATCCGGACAACGTTTGGTGCAGGAGGGGCTTCAATGAGATCATTCTCGACCGTTCGCGGCGGGGCGCCTGGCCACTCCACCAGATGGTCATCGCAGTAGGCATCGCCAAAAACGCATCTTCCCAAGAGTTACGGCTTGCCCGGGAGGTACACAGCGCTGTTCTGTCGAGTCAGCTTCGAGTGCCTTTGCTCAGCTATGACCGTCACGCCCACGCCGACTCGTTTGCAGTACTCGACCCGCCGTGGAATGTGCGAGCGCAAGACCAATAGAGAGTGTGAATAGACGAAGCCAAAGAAAACGAAATCCGATCCTCCATATCGCCGGCCCGGATATCCACATCCCTTCTCGGCCGCCATGTCCATCGTCGTCGCGGGGGGCGTCGTCCAGCGTCCACGAGGGACCAGGGCCGTTTTCACAGGGCCCCAACACAGCGCACACACAGCGCACACACAGCCACTCTACAGCGCACAGGCGAGAGGCGTCAGGCGCCGGCTCAACGAGCGTCCTCGAGCAGTCTGTGGGAGAGCGCTTCAGCGTCTCCGTCAGACTCACGCACGCGGATCTGGTGTTTTCACGTAAACTTAGAGTCCTTTCACGAGAGAGCCGAATGTCTGAAACGAGTCACACATCAAGCTACCACCCCCCAAAGAGAGAAAGAAGGTTCGGAGAAGGCTCCTGCGTATTGGCACGGTGGCGACAGCACCATCATCTCCAGCCAAAGCTAGGGATGGAAGGGATGGGCAAGGGGAGGGAGAACGTGTAGCCACCCAGCAGTTGCGTGTGTACACGCATGCACGTCAGCTTTGTGCCGTTTGGCAGCAGCTGCTGCGTGTCGACCCAGAGCTCGTCGATCTGCAGCGCAAGGCGACGGGAGGGGCGGTGAGGCGGCGGGAAAGGGTCTGGCGGAGTGGGTGGGAAGAGGCGGTGCGAGAAGAGGCGGTGACGGAGGCTTCAAGGGGAGGGACGCCTGCAGGAGGCGAAGCTGGTCGAGGGGCAGCACCGGCGGCAGCCGGATAGTCACGTTCGACTCGATGATGCCTTTGGCGGGCGGGGCGGCGGAGGGGTGGGGCGAAGGGGAAGGCAGAGACTCGCCTCCTCTCTCGACAGCGCGGCGCCTGGCTGCACGGGGCACGGGGAGCCCGGGAAGTCAACACCACCCAAGCCTAGAGGGATGTCGATGAAGCGAGGCTCGCAGGCGTCGCCAGAGAGCCTACAGAGCGGCCGCCACGGTCGGAAGAGCGGCCGCGACCGCCGCCCGCGCCGTGTGCCGGGCGCCAGAAAGGGAAGCCCGTGGCGGTGGCGGCGAAGGTGGACCCAAGCGGTTTGACGGCGGACTGGTTGACAGTGAGCGTGAGCGTGAGGTTCTCGCCGAGCGGTAGCGTCTGCACGCCTACGGAGGGAGGGAAGAGAGGTCGAAAGCCGTCAATGACGTGTGAAGAGGCCCTGACTGTCCGTGAATGTTGCGACAGGCACCCGGGATCGTGTCTTTGTGAAGAGAGTGCTGCCGTTCACCCTGGATGCTCTCGACCAGCTTTCCGCTGTTGGTGTACCGCACAGCCAGGCCGATGAGGCGAGCCTCGTAATCGCTCTCCTCGTCCTCCTCCGAGCAGTCTTCCCAGTCCAGGGTGAGTCGCACACCAGTGTCCTCAGCAGAGCGGGACGCGTCTTCCTCGCTCGCAACCGCCGCACGATATCCCCGCACCAGTGAAAAGGCAAAGCCGCTCGCCAGCAGCGCGGCCGCTGCGAGCATGGCTCCGCGGATGCGTCGCACCCCACCAGGTGAGGTTTGCATCCGACTCCCGTCTAGCGGTGTCGGCGGCGCGATGCGGAAAGGATACCAAAACAAAGGTGTCGGCGGCCCGCCCCGATGCGCCGGAAAGGATAGCCAAAAAAAGAATTTTTAGGTCCTACGCAAATCCCGCGTTGCGCTAGGCTCAGAGCGAGTTCGCGCTGCGCTTGGCTCAGACGGCGTGCGCGGGCCGCCGGGGTGAGGACCTCACCTCCTTCGGGCTCGGCAGCTTGTCGGGCCGTGGCGTCTACCTCAGCTCCTCACTGGGGCGGGGTGGGAAGACCCGGTTTTTCTTCACCCTTTTACTTCCCACCGCCGTTTCGCGAACGACGATACTCCGGACATCGCGTGTCGGTACAATGGGTGCCGGCGCGAGCGGCGCCGCTGGGAGCAAGCAGGCCAGCATCCCGAGCGCCCAGGAAATCTTCGATGCGATCGACGAGGACAAGAGCGGTCAGCTCACCGTCGCTGAACTCTCCGCTGCAGCTAAGACGCATGCCGACAAGACGCGCATCAAGTGGACCGCCGACAGGATCGAGAGAGAGAAACACTGTAGAAGTGGGATCCAACACACACGCACGGCAATGGTCTGTAGACCCCTGCTCAGGCGCGCGCAATCGTCTGTGCTCAGGATCGAATCACTGTTTGCAAAGCTGGACGCTGACGGCGACGGCCTCCTCGACCCGACTGAGTTTGGAAGTGGCATGGCGGAAATATTTGGCCCTCCTGAGCGAGTCAATCGGCGTGGTAATCGGCGCGGAGCGCGGCAGCAGCAGGCCGCAATGCTCGAAGAGGCCAAGAGGGCCTCTGCTGCCGCTGCAGCCTCGCTGGAGGCGGTGGGAATGACCGGCCCGGCCAAGGAGCCGGCAGGCGAGGCTTCAGAGAACACCCGCCGAGACGAGATCAATGCAAAAGTTCTCGCCGACTTGGAGTCCGAGCGGGAGGCTGCGGCGCAGGCGACGGCAATCGAGGAGGCAAAGAGCGATGCAATGAAGCAGATCGAGGTGCGGCGCCTGAGGCGCAAGGAGGCTGCGGCGGCGGCGGCGCAAGAGGCAGCGGAGGAGGCGGCGGCGGCGGAGGCGGCGGCGGCAGCGGCGGAGGCAGCGGAAGCCGAGGAAGCCGCGGCGGCAAAGAAGGAGGCCAGAATCGAGGCTATTGAAGCCAAAAAGGCGTCGAAGCAGAAGGAAGTGCAAGAGCAGAGGCAGGTGGCGGCAGACAAGAAGGCAATGGCTGAGATTGAAAAGGCGGCAAAGAAGCAGGCGCTCAAGGAGCTGCGAACGGGCGAGGCAGCGCAGCAGATCTCGGAGGCGAGGAAGGCGAGGGAGGAGGCGGAGAAGCAACTCGCCGATATGGAGGAGCGTGAGGAGGACGAGAAGCAGCAGCGCGAATTCGACGAGGCAATGCGAAAGGCTCAGCGGCAAAGCAGGGCCATCGAGTCGAAGCTGGGCATGGTGGCCGCGGAGCAGACTCTTGTGGCTGCTGAGTGATGCTGAGGCGCCGCTTGGTTCGAGATTTCAATTAAATCGCAGTAAACGAACGGGATTTTAATATTGCAGAACCCCCTCTCACAACACACACACCCCCGCCCTCCTCCACAGATTGTCTGCGGCCGCCCAAGATATCAAGGTGTGTCGAGAGTCTTGTAGCCCCCCGCTCCTCTCGACTGATTGGCGCCACCCTCTTCTCTAGACTCCTTCCTCCCGGAAGCTCCGTGCGTGGGCAGTGCGGTGGGAGCAGGCAGCAAGTGAGGCGAGAACACGCTGCTGAAGTCGCCGCTGGCAACCATGGATGACAGAGCGGACGCGCCACCAAGGCAGGCGCCGTCCAGAAATATGAGCGGGAAAGTCTTTTGGCCCGCGATGTCCCATAGCTCGTTGCGGAGCGCGTGCATCTGGGTGTCAGCCGCGTTAATGCGGGTGTAGCGGACTTGCCGCGCGTCTAGCAGCATGCGCACGCGTGTCCAGTCATCCTTATGGATCAGATTCTGCGTGGCTGCCCGCGTCTCCGGCGCGCGTAGCCAGCAGCCAGGGGTTTCCCGATGCCATGCCTCAAACTCGTCGCGCTTCAACGGCGCGAGTCCGGCTTCTGTCCGTTGCAGATTGCATCGATGCCAATGGATCTTGAGATCGTTTTCGGTGCTTGCCGCCACTCGTTCAGATGGTTCATAGTACATGACGAGGACTAAGGGTGGCAGAGGTCATGCGACAGGGAGGGATGGGTCTCTATGTGGCAGAGAGAGGCGATGGCGGTGAGGAGGTCCTCACCTTGTCCGAGGAACGGCGCGAGGAGCTCTGCGCGCTCCTGATGCGCTGCCGGCTGGGTCGATGCACGTCGGATGGTGACGGAGCGGGTGTACGTCCTTCCTGCACGTCGTTGTTCGCCGGACATGCTTTGCCCGAGTGCGAACGTGCAGAAGTCAGCGCGGGTCGCCGAGCATGCGCGAGCGGTGGAGTGCGAACGACCAACGTTGACAACGTCCGTTACGTCACGCACAGAGACTGCATTCGATCCCTGATGTGTGTGTGTGTGTGTGTGTGTGTGTGTGTGTGTGTGTGTGTGTGTGTGTGTGTGTGTGTGTGTGTGTGTGTGTGTGTGTGTGTGTGTGTGTGTGTGTGTGTGTGTGTGTGTGTGTGTGTGTGTGTGTGTGTGTGTGTGTGTGTGTGTGTGTGTGTGTGTGTGTGTGTGTGTGTGTGTGTGTGTGTGTGTGTGTGTGTTGAGGGCCGTGCTGACTGCTGTCTGTCTGCGTGCTTTCACCTCTTTTTACGATTTCCTTTCACTTTCCCGCCCGGCGCTACAGCGGTGCGGAGTCAGTGCGGTGTTAAACTCACTTTATGCCTAGCCGCGTCCCGCATATGTCGAGTGTGGGCCTCGACACCGGTCCATTACGCATTGGGTTGAAGCTGTTGGTCGCGGCCAACCAGAGCGCAGAAGTGACAGGTGTCAGGTTGAGCGGGAGGAATTTGATTGAGGACAATTGAGCCTGTGGGGGCTGAATTAAATGTGTGGCTGTGGGAACTGGCTCTGGCAACTGCAACACTGGGCGACTGGGGAAAGGGGAAGCACGTGCGACGTCTAAGCTGTCAGCATGCGATCCCCGACCCACCTCGGCCTCGCTCGCCGACCGGCGACCCCGGACCCGCGTCCCGCGAGCGCCGAACTCAGGGTGTCACCTCAGCCGCTCAGGACTCAGCCCTCACCGCTCACGCGATGCGGTGACGGCGACGCCGATGCTAGATCCCAAAACATGAAATGAAAAAAACGAAATATCATGTGTTGTGATTTATATCTGCGACTTCGTGAATATTCAGTCATCCTCGCGCCTCCGCTTGTTCCGCTGCGGCCTGCGCGCGCAGCAGCCGGTTCAGCTCCTCGAGCGCGTCCGCCTCGTCCTCGGAGAGGCCGATCGGCCGCTCCGCGCCGTAGTCCAGCGCCTCCTCGGCGAGGCCTCTCAGCCGCTCCGTCTCGCGCAGCTCGATAATCTCGATCGCGTCCACCTCGCTCAGCCCGATCGGGATCTCGGCGCAGCCGGCCGTCTGCGCCCACCCCTCCTCGGCCAAGGACGCGAGCCGCACTGAGGAGCGGAGCGCCTCGAGCTGCGCCGCCTCCTGCTCGCTCAGGCCGATGGCAACTTCAGACGACATCGCCTCGGACGCAATGGCGGAGAGCGCCTCGCTACGATCCAGCTCCGCCTCAAGCTCCCGCCTCCGCTCTGCTCGCTGCAGCCACCTCGCCGCGATGACGTCCGCCGCCATATTCCGCCAACGCGCCTTGGCGCGGGCCGCTGCCGCCTCGTCCGGCCGCGGGAGGCAGGGCGGGCGGAGGCACAGCAGCAGCTGCCGCACATCGATGCCGAAGAGCTCGCTGCACGAGTCTGCGATTCCCGGGCCGCCGTCGCCGCCGCCGTCGTCGCTGCTGGCGCCCCACAGGCCAAACGTTAGGCAGTTCGCCAGTGACGACACGCCAAAGGTAGCTTCGACCCCGGTGTGCGCCTCGGCCCCCTCCCCGCCAGATTGTTTGCGCCGCCGCTCGTACATCCCCGAGCGCCCTCCGCGCTCGCGCCTCGCCTGCGCTGCTGCGGCGCGTGAGGCCGCGCGCGCCCTGGCGTCATCGTAGCGGGCGCGGTCCTCGGGGGTGCCAATCTTCGCGTACGCCTCGCGGACCGCCTCGAGGCGCTCCTTCATCAAATCGCGCTGCTCGTCCGTGATCTTCTTGTCGACGAGCCTGTCCGGATGCATCGTCTTCTCCAGAGCGTGGCGTGACCGCGTGATGTCGCGCTGCGTCGCGTCGGGCCGCAGGCCGAGAACGGCGTACGGATCATCGCCGAGGGAGCCTGAGCGCCGGCGTAGCTGCCTGGGTCCCATGGCGGACACAAGGGTGTGTCTCCCCGTCGACCGAGCCTTCACTTGCCCGCCCTGTCGAGGCGCCGCAGGGTTTTTCTTTTGAGCTAGACTCGTTGAGGAACAAGCGAAGGCACACACGACATGACGCCAAACACACGATTGCACGCACCGCACCGCACCTCGCACCCGCGCCCGCGCCCGCCGCCCCCCCCGACCCCCGCCCCGCCTAGGTGGGAAAGAGATGAGGAGATGGGACAGCGAAGGAGGAGCCACGAACACGTATGGGAGGTTTCGTTGATGCGTCACGCTGCCCGGCGTCTCTCACTTTCCGGGACAGCCCCGCCCTTGTGAGGCAGGAAAGTGACGACTACCCCGTACGCCCTGTTGCTTCTACCCCCTCGCCGACCGCCCATCCCCCCTCCCCTCCCCCACCCCGACGAGCCGATGACCGTCGCCTCTGCCCTGGCAGCCGCGCGCCCCCGAGCCCCCCCCCCCCCACCCACCCACCCACCCACACACACACACACCGCCGCCGCGCGAGCGCCGCGCGGCGGCACACCCAGCTCAAAAGAAAAAGAAAAAAGGGAATGAGGAGACCAGCGAGGGAGACTCCCCGCCTATGCAAGCCCCAGAGAGGGGCCGCCATCGCCGAAGCTGTGCCAAAGCATAACTCCAAAACCCGCAGCGGCCCACGCACGACTCACTGAGCTCTGAGATCAGAAGTTAAAAACGGGAAGCAAATTGCGTGAAGGTGGGAGGGTCGGGAGAGGGGGGATCTTGCGATTGAGCACTGAAGCCATCGCTCAGGAGGCAGGTTGATGTTATTGAATTTAACTTGAGGGCAACAAAAAATATTTGGCGATCGATACCGAAGCTCGCGCGGCAGCGCGCGAGGCGAAAATTCCAGCGGCGAGCTGTTCGGCGTGGCCTCTCGGGGCCATAACACCGTGGACCACCAGGGACGGCTCTCTCCATAGCAGTCCATGACATGTTTGATGTTATGGCTATTATGGCTGTTATGGGGCCGCTGCTGCCCAGAGAGCCATAACACCATAACAATAACTGTGACTGGGGCCAAACTAAGCACCGACCGGTAAGTCGACGCAAGTGGTCCGGCGGGCCGCTCGTAGTGCTCCGTTAGAGGCGGGCCTGGCTCTCCGCTACGCCCACTAAGTTACGATAGAGAGACAGAGAGAGTTGTTTGCTAAGTTGTATATAGTGCGCGCACGCGAGTAGTGATTGGCCGCCAGCGAGCGGGCTAGTGAGTGAGTGCCCCTCCCGCCACTTCGCACATTAAGTTAGTGCGCGGGTGGGCTGAGCAAGCCTGGATAAAGAAAAACATTCGCGTGTGCTGTACATTTTTGTTTAAATTCTTCTGCCAGCTTCGACGAGTGGGAATGCATCGCCGACAATTCCTCTTGCTCCTGTCGACCCTGGGTGCGCAGTCCGCGGTGGTGCTGCCCGGCGTGGCCAGCTACTCAGCCGCGCTGCTTCAGCATCCGCTCGAGACGAACGTCCTCACCGCCGTCGCCATTTCGGCGGCTGGTGACGCCATCGTGCAGCGGAGCGAGTGGGAGCGGTCTGGCAAGCCGTACGACACCCCACGAGCGATAAGTTTCGTGTTGTTTGGAGCGTTCTACCAGGGCGCCTTCAACACGCGCGCCTTCCCGTGGATCCAGGAGCACTGCCAGGGCGATGCCCTGCAGGATCTGGCAAGCAGCCTCGCTCCCGACGCCGCAGCCCTCGCGGACCCGTCACTCTACAGGGCGGTCGAGTGCACGGCGTTCAACCAGCTGCTCGTCGTGCCGCTCGTGTACTATCCCATCTTCTTTGCCGTCACCGGGTGCGTGCAGGGCCTCACTGCAGAGGAGTCGGTCGAGCGCGCCCGCGGCAGCTTTGTCGGCCTGCAGCTGCGCAACTGGAAGTTCTGGTGGCCGGTGCAGCTGTGCCAGTTCGGGTTGCTGCCTCCCGAGTGGCAAGTGCCCTACGCGTGCGCGATGGGCCTCGTGTGGAACGTGATCCTAAGCGCCGCGGCCGGGTCGGCTCGTGAGCCCGACGACTCCGAGGAGCCCGGGGGGCCGGCTGTCGGGGTGGTGGTCCCCACGCGGCAGCGCGGGGCGGCTCAGGTGCGCGCCGGCAAGATTTTGGAGGGCGGCGGCGTCGGGCTGCGGCAACGCGAGAGGCGGACATAGTCCGTCGCATCGGTCGTGGTCGTTTCGCATCCATACGTGATAGTCAATACGAGAGACCGAGTGGCGGTGGCAGACGGTGTACGTATTCGTACAGGGATACGGCTCCATGTACTCGCATAGGTGTGTGCGTGAGAACTGTTAATATTGCGCCTACCCCTCTCTTGGACCTCTCATCAATTATCGTGCGCTCGAAGCACTTGGAGTGCGGTTGGCGATGCCGATGGCCGGCCGGGCACCTGTGCAGCGCCCGCCGCGGCCGGGCGCCCGCGCCTGTGAGGCTGTGGCTGAGCGGGCCACAGGAGGAGCAGGAGGCCAGGACGCAGGAGGGGGCGCCCGTGCCGGTGCCGCCCGCTGGACGCCCAGCGGCGGTGCCGGTTGCCACAGACAGAGACGGTCGAGCCCAGGGAAGGCTCCACGGCGGTCGTGAGGCGGGAGGACGCATCACCATCGGCGCAGCGATGCGGAGGATGGGAGATGCGACGGTGTATCAGTCACCTTATGCCACCGTCGCATATCCGATATCGGCGGTGGAATATGGCGGGCGAGCCGGAGGACCTCGATTACGGCCAAGAGGCCCTCGCCTTCTTCAAGGCCAACCCCTGAGCTTTTCGGTCTCCGAGATCATATGACGCGGCCCCGGCCCGCGGCCGGCGCACACACCAGACGCGCACAGGCCCAGCGCGATACCCCGGAATGCCACATGCAGAGAGAGACACGGGCACGTCGCTTCGGTGAAGGGGGTGAAGCGATCGCGGTTGCGCATGTCGCATGTGCGGGGGGGGGGGGGGGGGTGTGCATTGCCCATTTCTGCATTCTGGGCTTGGGCGTTGTACTTGGGGGCTCCGCCGCCGCGGGGCCCCCCCACTTTTTGGGACAGGGAAAAATACAAAACAGTGGCTTACTCTCCGGAACTCAACGACCCGGATGACTCCGACCACGACTCCTCGTCCCGCAGCTCTGCGTAGCGCCCATCGTCGAGATCGCAGACGGACCACGGGGGTCTGCTGTGTTCCACTTGGCTATGGCCCGCCCGCGTGGCAGCCGCCCCGGCGCCCCCGCCCGTGCGGCGCCGCTCCTCCCACGACCGCCACGCGTCGTCACGGCTCATGTCACGGCTCGGTGCGCTGCCGCCCTCCCGCAAGGATGCCAGGGAGGCGGCCCGAGGTCTCCTCCCCGCGTCCATATCGCTGACCCGTCGGGGTGCAGGGCGGCCTTCCTGAAAGGAAGCGGTTCGCCTCGCCCTCGCGAGTCCGTGACGCGACACGCGCGCGGAGGCGGGCTCGTGTGGAGGCGCGCCGCGCGCAGCTGCCACGGTGTCGTAAAAAAAGGCGCCCGACACGAGCGGCAGGGAGCGGAGCGGGAAGCTGGCCTCGACCGCCGTGATGCGGCGCACCATCGCCAAGTCAATCAGCCCGACGAGGGCGGTGATGAGGAGGGAGCAGTAAAGGTGCGGCGACGCCTCCAGGTAGGCGTAGGCAACGGTGGTGAGGAGGAATAGGTGAATCGAGACGCGAAGCAGTGTCGCCACGAGCTCGTGCTCCACGAGGATGCCATCAACAGCGATGTTCATTGAGCCGTCCGGTCCGCGCAGCGCATATCCGGGGCCGAGCATCACGACTGCGGTCGTGCCGAAGCAGACCTCGAGAGCGACGCACATCGTCAGGATGTTGGTCGCCACGTAGAGGCCCTTTTGCAGCTCGCCGGCGGTCCTGAAGTAGGCTTGGTCGGTGTAGAGCAGGCCGAAATAGCCGAGCCCTGCGATGATCGAGCCGATGGTCCCCAGCGCGCGCAGATTCTGGACGTAGAGGTCGAGCTCCCGCTCGCGGATCCCGATGAGCCGCACCTTGGTGTTGTTGCCGAGCGACTCCTTTTGCGCGAATAGCATGCAAAAGGGCGAGCGATTCTCCGGCGCGCAAGTCGGCCCCCGCCACCGGCGGGGTCAAGAGGAGCAGATACCGCTACGTTCTGCGGGCAGGCTGTCCCTAGACGCCGCGAGCGTCGCAAGAGAATTGTGAGTTCCGGCGCAAGGGTGGACTAGCCAGCCCAGCGTGTGTGTGTGTGTGTGTGTGTGTGTGTGTGTGTGTGTGTGTGTGTGTGTGTGTGTGTGTGTGTGTGTGTGTGTGTGTGTGTGTGTGTGTGTGTGTGTGTGCGTGTGTGCACCTGCCCAGTCAGCAGCGTGAAGGCGGGCCCCTGGTCGCTAGCCAGCCAAGCGGCTGTTCTTCACCTTCCTAAATAATTAAGCCCAAGTCACGTATAGGCCACACCCGTTCCCTCTCCCCGATCGTCCTCCCAAGACCCTTGGCCTTGCTTGCTCCGCAGCACCGCGCGGATTTCCCGAGATTTTCTTTCAAGAAGGCAGCTCTTGGTCATGGAAGACCGACGCGAGCCGTCGGGGCTGCCCACTTCTTTATCTCAGCGGGCTTCTGACTAGATGCGCGCAGTCCTAGAGAATTTCTAGCAACACCAAACAAATCTAACACACACTCAGGGCACCACAGCCGATGGATGGAGAGAGGTAGAACAGACATGCAGCTTGCAGGGCGAGCGGACGACTCGAGGGAAGGCACTTTGCGGAGAGCAGCAGGAGGCATTACGACGAGAGCAGGAAGGAGCAGCAGGGACCCCTGTGCCTGAGGGACAACGTGGACGACGGCTTGACCTAGGGCTTGACGGCAGTGCTACCGCTTAGCGCTTTAGTCCCCCGGTCGTTAGGTGGACGGCCCCGGCTACAATAGTGTTCGCCGGACCACAACCCGCACAAAAAACCGCATGGGCGGGGACCAGCTCCTTTACCCAAGGAGTTGTGGTTTTGATTTAGTGTATCTCGTGCGTGTGTGATACCCGTCTGTGTGTCGTGTGTCTGCCCGCGGCGTGGGCGGTGGCGGGTGGGGCCGGGGCGGGCGTCCGCGCGCGCCCACAGGTGCGCAGCCCGACCGCGCACTTCGCACGGCCCCGGGCGGGGGGCTCAGAGTATCCTCTCTAACGCCCGTCTAAAAGTGAAGGCGCTGTGTGCGAATTACCGAATCAGAGAGGCAGAGCGCGATCGCGAGAAAAATACCACTCGCTTGCTTTTTTTTCGCTCCAGTCCTGCGGATCTTCTAGTAGACCGGAGGGCTACGAAGCCTTTCACACTCCAAGGGGCTGGAAAAATACAAGAAACTGCTCCGACCTCCGTGCCTTGCCTCTGTGCAAACTGTGGTGCGATTATCTGGCCACGAAGCGCATGGTTGTATCTCAATGGGGCACAATACACATGCAGCGCTGGCCCACGCGCCCTGTAGTGTGTAGACCCTGCAAGGCCCTGCTCCCACTGCATCCAGCTCGCGTCTTGTGTGGCGCGCGCGATTCAGTTCTCACAGAGGTGTGCGCTCGCAGATGGCCAGCCCCGCCACTCATCAGACATTCTCGCTAGCCCACAGATCGAGAGACTGGTACGGCGGCGCACTGGCGAGGGGCGTGCGCTGGTCCTCGGCTCCAGCGGCGCTGGGATGCGCAGCCTTGGAGGAGGCCG